AGCTGACGTTTCCATTGAATTTCACATAGCCTTGCTTTCCCAAAAGTTGTTCTCATCCAGAGTGGACTGATGTGGAATGCAATGGGAAAATTCTGCTTCTACCAGTCCTTCATCACCTTAAACGAAATTGTGTGAATGCATACTGAATATTAGACACAAATGCCAGTTTACTTGACTGACAATCCCCCTACAAAGTGTGGTATCGAAGAGGTTTGGCTAGCTTTCCCATTCTCATTGCAACCTGAAGTGTCTAAAAAATATTACGTACTGTGGAGGTTAGAGTCCTATATGGGATATTGACGAGATCCAGGTGCAGGTGAAATGGAGTCCGGTCTAGCGGTGAGGGAACTGCCTCTTAGGAGGGAGGACTGACTGAAATGCAATGGCATCCTGAGGCTTGGTTACAGAGTTTTGGGAAACTTTATCCATTAGTCTATCACCTCGTGCGACCCGGAGTGAATGAAGTTGTCAGAGAAAAGCAAATATTGCTCACAGTATGATGTGTACTAATCATAGTTCGTTAAGGGTGATACGAAGAATGGTAGTTGAAGTTGCTCAAAATGACATGAGTAGACATGACGTTGCCAGTGAATTTCACATTATATTCCTCTCCTCAAAGCTATTCTCATCCAGGCTGAAGTGGACAGCACCACCCCCGGCCTGACTCGAATGAGGTTAACGTGTCGAGATTATACGCTGCATGGTCATGGTTCGAGTCCCGTCAGGTGTGATGACGAGACCCCACTTAAAAGTGAAAAGTGTTTTGAGAGAACTCATGCAAAGCAAGATGTGAAAATGTCATCATCTATACTGCAGCTCTTTGTTCATACATCGCTCCTTTCATTCCGCCCGCTTCCTTCCATGCCTATCACATTTCCCCTCCTAAACCTCGTACTCCACCTCCTCCTCCACACGCACCTGCAACTTCTCTTCCTCCTCTTCCTCCTCTTCCACCTCCTTCTCCACCTTCTCTCCCTCCTCTTCCACATCCTCCTTAACCTCCTCCTCCACTTCCTTCTCCACCCTCCCTTCCTCCTCCTCCATCTCATCCTCCAACTTCTCTCACTTCTCTTCCACTTCCTCCTTAACCTCCTTCTCCACTTTCTCCTCCACCTTCTCTTCCTCCTCCCCCCTCATCCTCCACCTTCTTTTCCTCTTCTCTACACCTCCTACTTAACCTCCACCTCCACCTCCTCCACCTTCTATCCCTCTTCCACTTCCTCCTTAACCTCCTCCCCCACCTGCACCTGCACCTCCTCTTCCTTTTCTTCCACCTCCTCCTCCACCTACACCTCCACTTTCTCTTCCTTTTCTTCCACCCCCTCCTTAAACTCCTCCTCCACCTTTTCTTCCTTCTCTTCCACCTCCTCCTCAACCTCCTCCTCCACCTGCACCTCCATTTTCTCTTTCTCCTCTTCTATCTCCTCCTTTACCTCCTCCTCTACATCCTCTTCACCTCCACTTTCTCTTCCTTCTCTCCCTCCTCTTCCATCTCCTCATCATCCTCCTCGTCCTGCTTGTCCTCCGCCAACTGATTGTGTCTCTGTCCCAACTCCATACTTTTTATAATCTGGAACTGTCTGAACTTCCACTTTTGGGAGTGGATTTATGCCACCAAGCCAGAAAGACTCACGGCACAGGTTTGTCGAAGTGTTGTCATGTCAGCTTCATACTTTGCAATAGGCAACAAGATCGACACTTGTTTGTTCAGGTGCCGCCGACAGCAAATTCATCATCTCCACGTTTGGTTGAACCTGATTGCGACCTGTCTAGTCCCACAAGGCTGAAATGTGGGCGTCCTCTGACGACCAGAAGTAGAGAAGGCAGCACATGTTTTCTTTGTCGAGGTGTGCATCCGTTGAATGGCCACATGACGCCATAGAGACGAGCAGGAAGCGTAGAAAACAACTTGCTTGATTGTGGACACGCGCCAGTGCTGCTGTCCATTAAGTGGGGCCACGGAGGAAGAAGAGTCCATTGCTTCATGACGGCACCGCATTTTGGAACATGCGTTGCGTACAACAATGCCACAAAGCAACTGTCCGAGCAAGAAGCTGATGCAATTGCACAACCGGACTCAGTCCTTGATGGCATTCAGAGCGAGTCCTGACGATGTAAGCCGACACAGACTTTCGGGCAACAAGCCAGGGCCTTCATTGGATCCCACCGAATAAGGCTTCCCACGATGACACGATGCCAGCACAAGGATTCTGGTAAAATCATCTATCTTTTGTCCAGCCCCAAATGCGTATTTCCCTCCATCCTAATTGACAATATTACAAAATAAATGTCGACCAGAATTCTCCTGGTCCCGATGCTCAACATGTGTGAAATTCAATAGAAACGTCAGCTCAACTCATATCATTGTGGGAAAATTCTTCTTCTACCAGTCCTTCAGCACCTTAAACGAAATTGGGTGAATACATCTTATATTACTGATTTACTAGTAGTCTCGAAAACAATACTTAATTCGAAATATAAAAAAATTGTCAACCAGAATTCTCCTGGTACCAAAGCTCAACATGTGTGAAATTCAATAGAAACGTCAGCTCAACTCATATCATTGTGGGAAAATTCTTCTTCTACCAGTCCTTC